CCCATTCCAACGGGGTCGAGGCGAGGGCGGAATTGAAGACGTCGGAGCGCCATCGCTGCTCCCGCCGTTGCCGCTCCGCGAGGTCGTCGTCGTCGTCGTCGATCCCGCCGCCTTCCGCCTCCGCTGGGATCGCGGAGGGGGCCGTGGGGTGTGGCGTTTCGCCCGCGATCGCGCGGGTCTCCGCGTTGGCGGAAATCGCGCGATCCGGCGTGGCGTCCGCTCGCGCCTCGGCCTCGGCCTCGCTGCGTAGCGTGCGGGCGTACCGCAGGTTCATCTCGCGTTTGTGCTTCTCCACCTCCACGGTGATGCGGTCGGGCTTCAGGATCGCCTCGGACTCGCCGTTCCCGAGCCTGCGCCAGACCATCTTCTGCGAGGTATTGAGCAATTCCATAATCCGCTCGTCGATCGCGTCGCGTTCGCCTTTTTCGGCAAACGCGTAGACCGCGGCGGAGACCTCGGGTTCGGAAAGCAACGCACACCCTTCCTTCGCGCCCTGGTTAAACACCTCGGCGACCTTCGCGCGGATATCCAACACCCCCAGCTGCGGCGCGACGGGAACGACCCACTCGACGAGGCCCTCCGCAACCCCCCCGCGATTGGATGGAAGGGACCTCGCGAGGGCGCTCGAACCCGTCGATTTCGGCTTCACCGGCCGCAGCAGCTCGCCTGGATTCGCAACGACGTCGATGTATTGCTGCCCGAAGCGATTGAGATTGGGCTGTGGGAATGGGGCGGATTCGACATCCGTGAAGTCCACGGCGAGCCGCATCAGCGGGAATTTAAGATTCGGATGAAACGTCAGGATGTCGTCCGGGATGTGGCTGATCTGCTGCTCCGCCTCCCCGAGCATCTCCTCCACCACGCTGCGGAGAAATTCCTCGACGGCGTCGAGGGTTCGGCCGCGGGGGTTGTCGTGCGCGAGAACGACGCTTCGCCGCACCACCGGGCGAACACTTCGCAAAGGAAAGGGCGTGAGTCGATAGGAGGCATTTCGGACTTCGAGAATCCCATACTGCTTCGGATTCCCCTCCTGCCCTGAAAGCGAGGTGAGAATCGTGCTCCCCGGTTGAACCACGTCATAGCCATGGGATGGCTGCGGCACCATCAGCTGCTCGTGTTCATTCCCCCAAATCACCAAATCAAACCCATACCCGGCAAGCATGTGTTCGTAGATTCCCCCTTTACTCGCGACCCCACGAACCCCACGGTTTTGATGAAGCAACAAAATATTAAACCACGTGCGTCCCGGGGAAGGCTTGGGGTGCACGAAGTGGACTTTTTTATGCCGAAAACAGCGATGCAGCCGCTCATCCCGGACATTGCCGAGGCCGTACAAGGCGATAAACGTGCTGCCTTTCTGAAGCAAAATCGGCTCCACCACGAGGCTCTCCAGCGAGCGGACGTGGCCGAAGTAATTTAAATAACCGCTGGTCGCGAGAACATCCAACGCGGAGGTCCCCCCGACCGGATCGTCGTGGTTTCCGTGGATGGCAAAAATCGGCAACGCCACGTTCAGGTTCGGATCCTGAAAGTTCGCGAGCGGCAAGGCGTGGGTGGGGAAGTTTTTTGCCGGATCGCTGAGCAACGAAAAGCGAACCGGCCGGTTGCCGAGCACGTACTTGCGCAACAGCGAGGCGGTCCGCACCATGCAGCCTAGGCTGGGTTTATTCTCGTGAAATAAGTCGCCACCGAGAAGGGCAAAATCGACCTCGTGCTCCACACGTGCCGCCCGGAGGACCTCCTCAAAGGTCGTAAACGAGTCGTCCCCTCGCCGGGGATCCCGCTCCGCGAAGCCGATGTGATTATCCGTGGTGAGAAGGATCTTAAATGTGGAGGCATCCCCGCTACTTGTGGGATGGTGCATAATGTGATCGATCTAGAAATTGATATATATGTATATTATTTTATGGATATTGGTTGGATTAACCTTGGATTTCTCTATACCCTCTTGGACTGTTTGTGCAATAGTACCGACTCTACACACACTTGGATGGATTATCAATTCGTGTGTGATAAAGGAAGAGGGGGGTGGGGGAGGTTCTCTGACCACCTATAAGTGCAGATCTTCGTTCTGCTGAAGGCTGAGTAGCGATACGTGCACCTTTCGCGTCTAGGAATGTCTTCTATTCCTCTTCAACTTCGATAATGTTCCCTCTTTCGCAATCTGAATATTCCGCTCCCGTCCACCTGCATATGAATTCCTCCACGAGTAGCGCCACCGCTGCACGATCTCGATATCGTCGGCGTACTGAAATCCACTCACACAGGGAAACTAGAATCAATGGAAAAGAGGGGAAAAAAATCTAACCCCTTCCCCACACGCGCACACCTTTGCTAGGTAATGCTAAACATAGAATATAAAAGAATTCAACGAAGAGAAGAAATGGGTATCTTTGTGAAGCGAGCCTACCACGCGCAATACTAATCAAAAAGTCAGTTTTTTATTCATAGGCTGATTTACCTCCCGGATGGGGTGGGTGGCAGTGCCTTTTTTTTCTCAACACCAGAAGCCTCCCCCTCTCTACACCCAAAATTTTATTCCCTAGTCCTATACCAAATGAACTGGCAAATGTTGATGCACAGGTATCACGGCAAGTATTCTTATCAACTAACCACATAACATCTCTCCAAAAAATACGATGAAGAACAAAAAATTCTTGCTTCACTCATCAAAATCATTCCAACGTGCGAGAAAGCCACTTCAAGCCAATCCCACACCAAGACTCGATAAAAGGATTCCGAATCATCTCAACCAAGCGTTAAACCAGCATCCATACCATCCAAACCAAACAGATGGAAAAATCGCAAAAGCGAATCCACGGAACGACGACCGAGCAAATACATCAAACGAGCCCCCACCCATCCCCCCACACACGCCTCCGTACTACAACTCCACCCATTTTGGCAGTGGTGTTGGGGTTTGGTAATCCCGCACGGAATCCTTGAGCGCCTTAACCTTCCCTGTCTTCTTATCCGTCTCCCAGAGATGCGTGGGGAGCAACGCCGCGGTGTTGCGATGCAGTGCGACCTCCGGGCGGTTGAACTGCGGCATCGGGTGGTGCTGCCGGACCTCCCAATAGGTGCGAATCTTCTGCGCCTGCCGCCACGGCGTGACGCCGTCGACGAACTGGATTAAATCGCGAATCTCGCTGTCAAAGTGTTTCAAATACCCATGCGGGCGCGCCTTGTGGCGCCAATGGCGATTCAACGCGAAGAAGTAGCTGGCGCCGAGGTTATCCTGACGGAGGCTGTCGTGCAGGATCGGCTGATCCCCTTCCTGCACCGCAATCCACTCCCATGGGGTGAAACGCGGGAAGTAACCCAACCGAACGTAATCCCGCCGGTGGGAAATCCCCAGCGGGCGGAAATTCTCCGGCCGCCGCGTATCAAACCGATCCCACGTGTCGATCTCCGTAACCTGCTTCGTCGTGCGATACCCGGCGTCGCCCGCGAGGGGGGGGAGGTATTTTTCCAGAAAATGCTCCGTCGCGGCGCCGTCGGAAGTCTCTGGGCGGGATTTCTCGCGGTGGGGGTCCGCGACGTCGATGAAGCGATTCCCAGCTGCGAGGTTGTATCGGCTGGACTCATCCGCGACGGTGCGCTCCGGGCCGTGGTAGCGCCTTTGCCAGATCATCACGTCCGACAACGGCACCTCCTCGACCGCCCCGTCGGCGGCGAAGCAAACCGTTACGAGGCGCGGCTCCGGGTTGAAAAAGGGCTGCTTCAGATACTCCACGATTCGCCCGCGCTGGTAATCCCCTCGGACGGGATTTCGCCCGGAAAACGTGGGCGAAAAGAATGGGGTGGAGGTGGAGGTGGAGGTGGAGGAGCCCGCAATCGACCGCCGCGCGCGGACGGGGAGGCCGATCCGCAGCCCATCTGCGTGGGTGGCGGGCGACCACCCCTCCACCCCTTCCGCCGTCGCCTGCTCCCACAACACATCCTGCGTTTCGATGTAATTCCCACGATTGTACGAATACGACGCGATGCCGTAATCCAAGGCGTGGTTGTACTCGCTATTCGCGTCCACCTCTAACGGGAAGGTTTCAAAGACCTCATCGGTCGTCTCCAGGTGTTTGCCGGATTCGAGTTCGATCGTCAGCGGCACGACGCGGCGTCGCGTCCAGGGCAGGATCGCGTAGTTCACCCCATCCACCTCGATGAAATCCTTCACGGATCCCTCCGCCGTCGGGCTCGGGGTCGACGCGCGGGCCTCCACGTCGGATTCCCCCCACACCCTTTCCAGCTGCTTCGCGAAGGGCTCGACGGCGATGGTGAGGAGGGTGCCGGTTCGTTCGTCCTGCACGTCCACCACGGCGACCGCGTTGCCCTCCGTGAGGACCTTCGCGTATTCCTGCAAGGGGGCGTAATATCGACGTTGCTGCCGCATTGCCTCCCATTTCGCGAGGTGCGCGTCATTCGCGTGCTGGACGTACTCGTGGTACATCCTTTGCTCGTCGAGGCTGAACTGTTGGAGGACCTCGGGGGGTTGCTCGTGTTTCAATTCGAGCTCCTTCGCGGCCCCGACCACCTCCCGGGTGAACCCGCGTGAGATTCGATAGCAATACGCGTCATCGAGCAAAAGTTGATTAAAATACCGCCCACTCATCACGTGCTCCCGCGTATCCACGGTGCCGAGTTCATCGCTGGCGTGCTGGAGTGCCAGCCCCATCCCGCCGCGGCCCCCCACCACCGACGCCACCACCGTCGGCGAGGGGAGGAGGTAGACGCCAAACCACCCCCGCAGCGTCTCTCCATCCACCTCCATCTCATCCCCGCGAAGGGGAATTCGCGAGGGATCAAAAGGGGTTTTTTCGCACAATTCATCCAACTTCAACCGCCGGGTGTCGCGCTCCGACGCGGTTTCGTTCGCCAGCGGTTCCAATCCGTATTGAAGCGCCAACTCGCGGCGCTGCTGGTGGTGGGCGCGGTAACGCACGAAGAGCTCCCACTCGAGGAAATCCGGCCGCTGCCGCATAAGCGAAAACCCTTCCGTATCCGTATACATCCAGCTCAGTCGGTGATCTCGGAAGGAGGG